GCCAACAATTAACGATTCTTCGGAAAAGTTGGACGTGGCCCGAAAAGAAAAATCGCCATCCGCCTAATCTATCACTCTATTAACCGGCGAACGAACCAAAAAAAAAAACTAAAAGAGAACGAAAAAAAAAAAATAAATAAAATAAATGAAACCGAGGACTAGTATCCATCTATAAGAGTCGGTTTGTAATTATTTCCCAGCCGGAAAAAACGAATTCCTTCGGGTTTTTTGTTTTTCTATAGCCTCATCACAACTTCGGAAGAGCCGAATCCGCATTTTAATCGATTATTCGAAGTTAAACGAGCAATTAGAGCGGCTCAAACGGAAAGCGAATCGAGCTAAATCGAATGAAAAAGCGTATATATAGTATAGTATATGAAAAAAAGAATGGCGGTTTTAAATGAATCGCTTTTAATTGACCACCCTGTAGAGGTCGGGAAAAAGGGTTAATTTAGGGTGTAGGGATCCGGTCAGAGACAAATGAGACTGCTGACGTTTTCTCTCCAACTTACACAAATGTCCTGACGGTCGTTTAACCGAAAATCGTCCTTCCTGCATTATTCCCGTTGCAACGATAAAACCGAACTTAATTCCGATTTCACCTCGACCGAGTCGAGAGTTTCCCGGATTTTCCGGCGAAAACCCCCCGACGCGTGACCTATTGTCCAACAATTTCTATTCTCTTACTCCGCTCTCCCCCCCCAACCCCATCAAATTCGTAACATTACCATTCGCAAAACACTCGATTACAACCAGCTCAAATGTCGAGTTTCGAATGTCGTTGTGTCAATTGTCATTCTGTCAACTGTAAACTGTCCAATGACAACTGTCAAACTGTCAGCGGTGAGATTACAAATGTTATAGTTGTCATATGTCAACTGTCAATCGAAAAAAAAATGTTTCGATAATACTTATTAGCGTACGGATCGTTAATTTTGAAAGGGGTATAAATAAAGCGAATAAAAACAGTATCTTACCTCGGAATAGGCGATTTCTTCTTCTTTTTAGTTTTTATTTTTTTCCATCTTCTACTTGTACTTCTTCTTTTTCGTGGATGTTATTAGAGTTTTCCTTATCCGGTGTGTGTGTTTTACGACCCTCTCCCGATTTTCCTTTACTCGCAATTTACGGATATGCGACGTTTAAGTGGCGCGCGGATGTTCGCTCGAAACACACTCTTTCTATTACCTACTCCATTTCTGCTCTAACGCCGCTCCGAACTCGCCCGACGAACCGATCCGAATCGACTATTTTTTTTTCTTTCTTTCTTTCCTGAAACCGAAACGACCAATTTTAGCGGTTTTTAATTTGACAACAATTATGCTAATTTGTCATTCAAGTGTCAAGTGTCAAGTGTCACACTGTCCGATTATTTAATAATAATAATAAATTGCCTTTATTAATATTGCAAATATTACAATATATATTTGATATCATGAGGCGAAGTCTAGCACAATGTTACTCCACTTAATCCCAAGCCTACAAAAATTGACATATAACTTAGGAACTATATTAATAATAATAATAATAATTATTATTATATAAAAAAATTATAAAATAAAATAAAAAGATAAATAATTCAATTTTGCTCTACTCTGCATCTGATGTATCTGTAATTAAATGTAAAGTTTGTTAATTGTTCACTACTAATAAGGTTTGTCGAATGTCATTCCAACAACTGTCATTCTGTCAATCTGTCAACTGTCGAAATAGTGCGTATTTTGTTTTTTGGATAGAACGATTAAGATGTGAGCAATTAGATAAATTCGAGCGAGTAAATCGCTTCGGATTAAATTGAATTTAGGTAAGTTAGGTATCTATCTACTATACAGGGTGTTACTAAACATCGTGTAAATCCGATTCCTTGGCTTATTTTATGAGTAAAAGTTCATATAACCATCTACAGGGTGTTGAAATTTCAAGTTTTTTTTGTTTCTTTTTTAAAGCTCCTGCAGTTTTTGAGATATTTAGCTCAAATTTTGAATCTAGATTGCTTTATAGGGCACACATTATTGGGTATATCAGATATGGTTGTTGAATTCTACAGGGTGATATTTTTTCAGGGGTCATGTACCCTTTTTTTCCCCCGAACTTTTTTGCTGTGCGCCGCTGGTAGATTCTAAAATACAAAATTAATTGTCTGTTTTGTTTAGAAACTTTTTTTATTTTTAAACTTTTTCGTTTCTGTGACCGCTATCGAGAAAAAAATTAAAAATGATTTTCTGTGCAAATGATTTATTTTACAAAACAAAAACCCTAAATAATAATTATTAAATTACATTATAATTAATGTTGAAAGTGACCCCCTCCTACTCAAATTATACTCTATACCCTATATCCTATACCTAATTTGAGCTAAATATCTCAAAAACTGCAGGAGCTCTAAAAAAGAAACAAAAAAAAAATCTAGAAATTTCAACACCCTGTAGATCGATAACGAAGCGTTTACGGACCCACATTTATATAAACTTTTAGTCATAAAATAAGCCAATGAATCACCCCCTTTCGGATGTACACAATTTTTAGAACACCCTGTATATACCAGATAGAGACGATTCGAAGGAAAGACGTCGTCGCATTTGGAAAATTAATAGTCGAACAAACACCCTCATCAAACGGGAAATACCTCCACCTCTCGTCTTCCCCTATTTACTCCCTATATTACTCCTCACTCCAAACTCCTTAATTCGACGAATCGACGCCGGGAAAATTCACCATCATTAATAATACGTGTACTGCTTCCCTTACCTACTCAACTCGCTCATCGCTCAAAGTATCGCTCTAACCTACGTATAACTGATTATAGACGTCGTTACGCCATTAGCGTGATTGCTCGTGTGTATGTTTTAAACGATAGTTTAGATAAGATGCTTACGCTATTTGACTGGGCTATAAATTATACACCCGATAGTCAGGTAAAGTTTTTTTTATTTTTTTTACGAATTTGACCGGGCTATAATAGTCCGGGGACATTATAAATTATTCCTGATAGTCCGAAGAGGTTTTTTTCATTGTTTCTACGAATTTGACCGGGCTATAATAGTACTGGGAAATTATTAATTATTCCCGATAGTCCGGAAAGGTTTTTTTTCATTGTTTCTACGAATTTGACCGGGCTATGATAGCCCGGGGACATTATAAATTATTCCTGATAGTCCGAAGAGGTTTTTTTCTTTGTTTATACGAATTTGACCGGGCTATAATAGTCCTGGGAAATTATAAATTTTTCCCGATAGTCCGGAAAGGTTTTTTTTCATTGTTTCTACGAATTTGACCGGGCTATGAGAGTCCAGGGAAATTATAAATTATTTCCGATAGTCCGGAGAGGGTTTTTTTTCATTTTTTTCTACAAATTTGACCGTGCTATAATAGTACGGGAACATTCGATATTTTTTTCGTTCTTTCGTTTTTTTTTATAAATTTCACCTAACTAAATATAGTCCGGGGAAATTGGTGTACGATCGGAAATGCGAGATGCCTTTTGTGCATCCGATGCATTTATTTCTATAAAAGCGAAACTCTTCTGGCTCCGTTTCGACATAAACCAAATAAAGCTGAGAGCGAATTTCGAATTCGAATTTCGGTCCGAAAAGAACGGAATAATAAAAGAAACGAGAGAAAAAAAAACTAAAAAATAAAATAAAAATCAACGCAAACATAGAGGTATATATCCACAGCGCGCCTCTATTTACCTCGGCTTTTCCGAGTCTATTCTCCGTTTTTCCGGGGTTATTTCAATTTCCTGTTTAGTTTACTTTAAATATTCCAGTAAAGTAGCATCAGCGAAACCTTTTTTTTTTCATCGCTAATTCGATATGAAAGCTCTTCATTAATTACATATGTCAATGTTGTCAAAAAATCCCAAGCGTCGACTGTCAAATGTCATAAAATGTCACTAGTAGGTATCAAAATTAAAGATAGCTATGTAAAATGTAGAGATTTTTATGTCATTGTTGCCAAAAAATCCCAAGCGTCAACTGTCAAATGTCATAAAACGTCACTAGTAGGTATCAATTTTACCTGTCAACTGTCAAATATGTCAATATTAAATGTTTTTTGACTCTATTGCGTACAATATTAACCTTCGAAAAAGAATTGGCTATAAATAAAACATCATTAAAATCGCTACTGAAGAGGGGGGTTAAAAAGGGGGTGGAAACCGCCCCCCGCTTTCGAAAAAAAAAAAAAAAAAACAATTCTACAGCTCGTAAAACCGTTTAGGCTTTACTTTTCAAAAGGGTAAAAAAAGTACGAGGAACATTCTGACGCGAGACGAATAAAAAAAACAAAAAGGGAATCATAAAGGGCTAATTTCCAAGTCGTGTCGACATCGAAGAAGACCGACGAAAACATTTACGAGCGAATTATTACCTTCGAAAAAGTGATTTTTAATTCCTTTTCTTGCTTCGCAAGTAGGCCGGATTCTGAAGGAAAGCTGTCAATTTTTCCTATATATATGTCATACAAAATGTTAGCCGAATAGCTCAAGTAACTGAGGCCTCATGATTTAGAAGAAGAAAAAAACAAAGTACTATAATTTAAGCTGCCAACTGTCATTCTGTCAACTGTCGTTCTGTCAACTGTCGTTCTGTCAACTGTCGTTCTGTCAACTGTCGTTCTGTCAACTGTCGTTCTGTCAACTGTCGTTCTGTCAACTGTCGTTCTGTCAACTGTCGTTCTGTCAACTGTCGTTCTGTCAACTGTCGTTCTGTCAACTGTCGTTCTGTCAACTGTCGTTCTGTCAACTGTCGTTCTGTCAACTGTCGTTCTGTCAACTGTCGTTCTGTCAACTGTCGTTCCGTCAACTGTCAATTGTAAAAAATAAAAAATAAAAACCACCCCCTAAAATTTTTTTCACTTAATTCACGGCGACGGGAAAGGGGATGCGAATTTGGCGAATGGGGGGGTGGCGAATCGAGTCGCGCGCCCCGCCGACCGAGATGTTCCGCCGGGCCGGGCGTCCCGCGCTCGGACGCTCTCCTCAGTCGCGTCCCGACGCCCGGCGCTCCACCGACGTCCCGACGCCTGCTCGCGAGCTTATCGGCCCTTTCTTTCGAAAAGGGTCCCGTTTCGAATATCGCGTAGTCGGCTATGATACGGATAGTGCGATCGTCGTTTAGCAACCCTTAAATTTTCAACCCCCTCGTTCGGGGTCGTCGAGACGGACAAGATGTTGTCGGGGTTGTTGGTGTTGTTTAGCGGATTAGTCGTTTACGGTAAGGGTTTTTTGGTATATAGGGATTCTTTTTTTTTTTTCGTTTTTTGGGTAGTTTTTTTTAAGGGTTGGTTCACCCCTATTTTCATGATTCGCCTAATAATTTAATGCGACGGTTTTATTTAATTGTAATAATTTAGTAAACGCGATTTTTTGCCTTAAAAAATTAGTATATGTAAGCAAACAACCCTTAAAATTCCACCCCTTTTTTATTTGGAATAAAGAATTCCTCTTCATTACTTATCGAATCAAAAAAAAATACCACCCACTTCCAACCATTTACTACACCAATAAAAATTACAAACTTTTTACCCCAAAAGGGTCGCAACTACCCCTTTAAAATTAATCGAAATTAACATCGAATTAGCCACCACTTGCTTACTAGATTATTAACCGTATTTAAGGGTCGCATTATGTTTACGGATCCGATCTCGCTCCCCTTTGGCACCCCTTAGGGGGGCAGCGGGGGTGGTTTTGTACTTGAAGTGGCTCTGCGCAAGGGGGTAGCACAAATTATACAGTCGACTGTTTGTCTTTGGCGAACTTACTTACGTTATTAAGCAAACCCCTTGGAGCGTTCGAAGGCCACGTTAATAAATAAAGGGGTTTAAACGTGTAAATATTAGGGGTTAGTCGACACCCCGTTTAAATATATCTTATACTTGCCGGTGGGAGAGAGAAAGAGATTACGTACAGGATGATTACTAGATAAGAATGGACAAAAAACTATCATCCCTTATTAAAACTACCCTTATTTCAACTACCTTTATTAAAACTACCCTTATAGTACACATACCTTTCTTTAAACCGACCTGATTAATGCTACTCACAGGATGATTACTAGATAAGAATGGACAAAAACTATCATCCCTTATTAAAACTACCCTTATTTCAACTACCTTTATCAAAACTACCCTTATAGTACAAATACCTTTTTTCAAACCGACCTGATTAATGCTACTCTCATGGAAACTACCGTTATTAAAACTACCATAACCACAACGTAACCCTTATTAAAACTACCCTTAATAAAAATCCAACCCTGTGCGGACATTTCTTATTTCATTGGCCAATATCTTAAAGGGATCGAAAGTGATGCCATTAGGGTCGCATGCAGGTGTACCTAACGAGGGTGTAACGATGCTCGGGGGGTGGATATCTCGGTAGAAAATACCCTTATTCTTCCATCCGCTATTTCACTTTAATACGCACTCAACCCTTAATAATATGGATGAGGCCTAAATGACGTCGTTTTGTTACTGTTTCGAGCAAATCGAGTAGGCCGTGATTGGGTTATTTTTTTTTGCAAGGGGTGAGGTGTTGTAAAGGGGGTTGATTGATTTTTGTTTAAGTTTAAAGGAGAAATGTTTGTGTTTGTGTGTGAAGGTGTTTATTTAAAGATGACTTTGTAGAATTTACAGATTTTTATGCAAACTTAAAAATAGCTATCTAAAGTGTAGAGATTTTTATGCAAAATTAAACATAGCTAGGTAAAACATGGAGATTTTTATTCAAAATTAAAGATAGGTATGTAAAATGTAGAGATTTTTATGCAACATTAAAGATAGCTATGTAAAATGTAGAGATTTTAATGCAAAATTAAAGATAGCTATGTAAAATGTAGAGATTTTTATTCAAAATTAAAGATAGGTATGTAAAATGTAGAGATTTTAATGCAAAATTAAAGATAGCTATGTAAAATGTAGAGATTTTTATGCAAAATTAAAGATAGCTATGTAAAATGTAGAGATTTTTATGCAAAATTAAACATAGCTCTGTAAAATGTAGAGATTTTTATGCAAAATTAAAGATAGGTCTGTAAAATGTAGAGATTTTTATGCAAAATTAAAGATAGGTCTGTAAAATGTAGAGATTTTTATGCAAACATAAAGATAGCAAAGTAAAATATAGAGAAATATTTAGAGATTTTCGTGTAAATTCAAGACGATTTAGATGGAACATTTCGCGTCCTCGATTGCCCTGCAATTTACACAAATTCATATCTATAGCGATAGAAAAAATAAATTTTCTACTCGCAAATGCACAGTTAAAAAAACCCCGAAAAAAAATCCAACAATGCCGGGCACATGCACATGTTGTGACAATTCCATTATATGACTGTATTAAATCTCCCAACAATCCCTTTTTACCTTTTGTGAGCCTCCGGAGCCCGAATATGGAACATGGAGCATTATAAAATAACATAATATCGAGAGCACATGGAAACAATGTAGAGTTATGAAACGCGGAAAAAAAATTAAAATCGAACGAAAAACGTTTAAAACTGGCCGGATACTAGTAGAGTACTAGCTTTTATGTTTCTTTCGATAAAATCGATTTAAATACTATAGGCTAATTGGAACTTTAAATCGATTTTTTGGCATAAAACAAAAACACCCCCCTGAAAAATAAAAAAATAAAGCAATGCAAAAAAATAAATAAATATTCAGTTAGGAGAAATCGGAAAGGGATCCCCGCCGATCGTCGGCCATTAATCACGATAACGAAGGAAAAATATGAGGGAAATGCAAATGGCGAATTTCCCTCCGCCGACAAATAAGTGTTTTGCGTTCCGATTTCCTCTCGGTGAAGCGCATTTGCATGAAATCTGCATATAATTCCGATCCGGGATGGTTTTCCCGCCCGGCGCCCTGGCTAAGGACCCGATTCCGGGCCGGTTTTTCCGGCTGCCCCCGCTCGGGCGAGTTTTCCCGGGGGCGGTTTTTCGCATTGACGCGAACGTATAAATTGCGGATTCGCCGGGAAATTGCCGGACGTTGAAAGAAAAATCCGTTTGTTACACGATAATCTTTAAATTTGTAGAATGTTTGTCACACGATAAAATCGTTGAATTTATTATAGAGAAAATGTTTTGACTAAAAGTAAATGTTTAGTAACAGAATATTCACATTTTAGAGATAATTAGTAATGACATGAAAATCTCTAAATTACCTCGAAATAGTTTGAATACAAATGAAGAGGTATCTAATTTCAAAATTGCCAAATTTACATCATTATGCATTTTACACAAAAATTTCTATATTTACCGAGATATCTTAAAATCCACACAAAAATCTCTAAATTTTACACAGCCTCCCAAAAAATCGAAAAACAGGTAGTGGGGTAGAGTGGAGCAAGTAAATGAAAATGAAATAAGCAAGAGAGCGAAATGTAATTAGCATTTCGTTTTTCTTATTTAATTATCGCCCGTGAACGCTTTCCCATTTTCCTCGGATTAGATTAGAAACGACGCCATTTATATGAAAGCGACGATTTTCCACGGCGATAACGGGATTTTCCCTTAGCTTAAATACCCGAGAATTTTCCAAAAAAATTCAATTTAACCCTTCCGGGTTCCGAAACAAATCATGAAACAAATCATTTCCTTTCGGTTATTAATACTTTGAGCATCTTTTACACGATATTCTCTAATTTTACACATAAAAATCTCTAAAATTATACAAGAATTCTTTAAAATCTTTATATTTTGCATAGCCATCTTTAAATTTACACAAAACACTCTAATTTTACACGAAAAAATCTCTAAAATTACACAAGAATTCTTTAAAATCTTTTTATTTTGCACAGCCATCTTTAAATTTACACAAAAAACTCTAAATTTGCATCAAAAAATCCCTGAAAATAACTCTTAAATATTAATTACATATATAAAAACCCCCCATTACAGGCGTTAATATTATTACTAAAACAAGTCGGGGGAAGCGGGGCAACAAAAGACCGACCCCCCGCGGGTATTGAGAGGGGTTGTTTGGGGGTTGTTGGGGGTGAGTGGGAGTGCGTGCGTGTCCTGTCGCTATCCAGACGATTCCTGGGCGACGTTTGCATAAAATCTGCATACATTTCGATTTCCAGAAGCTCAATTAGCGCCGATGAATTTACAATTTAGATGAGACGTGTGTTCTACGACGCTGCCCCGCTTTCCCTACGTAAACTTCGATTTTTTTTTATCTATTTTCGCTGGAATATTCAAAATGGGTGGGAAACGAGGCGGTTTATCGGTTGTTTTTAGTGTTATTCGCGAGGAGTTTTCCTGCACCATTTTTTTCAAGCGGTTTTCTCCGTATTTTCCCGGCCGGAAAAATCGATACGTTTTAGGTGAAATGCGACGCCCGAATTGGGGTATCTTATTACGAAAAATGGCGGATGGAAAATCTTTTTCCCCATCGTGTTTTTTTTTGTACCAGAACCGGACTTGTTGGGTTTTTATATCTCCAAAGGTGAGTGAATGAATGAATGAGAGAAAGATTCAATAAATGATTGAATGAATGAATGAATAAATGAATGAATGATTGCATGGATCAGTAAAAGAGTGAATGAATGAGTGAGAGAAAGAGTCAATAAATGATTGAATGAATGAATGAATAAATGAATGAATGATTGCATGGATCAGTAAAAGAGTGAATGGATGAGTGAGAGAAAGAATCAATAAATGATTGAATGAATGAACGAATTAATGAATAAATGAGAGAAAAGGCGAATCAGAGAATGAATGTGTTAATGAATGAATGACGGATGAATGAAGGGATGAGTGAATGGATGAGTGTATCAAAGACAAAGCAAGTAAGTGAATGAATGAATAAATGAATGAATGATTGAATGGATCAGCAAAAGAGTAAATGAATGAATGAATGAATAAATGAATGAATGATTGAATGGATCAGCAAAAGAGTAAATGAATGAATGAATAAATGAATGAATGATTGAATGGATCAGTAAAAGAGTAAATGAATCAGTGAGTCTTTCAGCAAATCACAAAATAACAATGATTGATTAAACAAGCGAAAAAAGAAATTATGATCCGAAAAATTCCCTGTATTCCGAAGGAATCGAAATCGCCGGTATTCGAAACAAAAATCGCCTCTATAAACACTTAACACCCCGAATAGAATCTACATCAAGCTATAAAACAACGACAATATTACACAACCTAAGTACTAACATATATATTTTTTTCTTTCTATCTTTTTCGTCGACCTGCAAGACGTCGCGGCGCTGCGAGACATGCGATTCAGAGCGCCGGAGGCGGCGAAAACCGGCGACGCGGTAACGTTGGAATGCGACTACGATCTGGAATCCGCCGCTTTGTATGCCATCAAATGGTACAGAAACGAAGTGGAATTCTACAGGTTCGTGCCCAAGGAATCGCCCCCTTGGCAAACGTACGTCGTACCTCACGTTGACGTCGACGTAAGTCCCATTCTTTCTCCTTTTTTTTTTGCTATTTTTTACTACAACTTGATGATAGCTATGTAAAATGTAGAGATTTTTATGTAAACTTAAAGATAGCTATGTAAAATGTAGAGATTTTTATGCAAAATTAAAGATAGCTATGTAAAATGTAGAGATTTTTATGTAAAAATGTAGAGATTTTTATGCAAACTTAAAGATAGCTACGTAAAGTGTAGAGATTTTTATGCAAAATTGAAGATAGTTATGTAAAGTCTAGAGATCTTTATGCAAACCTAAAAATAGCTATGTAAAATGTAGAGATTTTTATGCAAAATTAAAGAAAGCTATGTAAAATGTAGTGATTTTTATGCAAAATTAAAAATAGCTAAGTAAAATGTAGCGATTTTTATGCAAACTTAAAAATAGTTATGTAAAATGTAGAGATTTTTATGCATACTTAAAGATAGCAAAGTAAAATATAGAGAAATATTTAGAGATTTTTGTGTAAATTCAGGACAATTTTAATGGAACATTTCGCGTCCTCGATTGCCCTGCAATTTGCACAAATGCATATCTATAGCGATAGAAAAAATAAATTTTCTACTCGCAAATGCACAGATAAAAAAACCAAAAAAAAATCCAACAATGCCGGGCACATGCACATGTTGTGACAATTCCATTATATGACTGTATTAAATCTCCCAACAATCCCTTTTTACCTTTTGTGAGCCTCCGGAGCCCGAATATGGAACATGGAGCATTATAAAATAACATAATATCGAGAGCACATGGAAACAATGTAGAGTTATGAAACGCGGAAAAAAAAAATTAAAATCGAACGAATAACGTTTAAAACTGGCCGGATACTAGTACTCATATACTCTACTCTAACTTGATTTGCTAAAAGTAGCCGATAAAGAGGCCCTTTTTATTAACGCAATTTCGATGGTTATTTGATGGAGAAAAAGTTGGTTTAGGTGATATAGGGGGTTAAGGGACGGAGCTCGTTTACGCCAACTTAATGTTTATTTGTTAATTTTCCATAGCCATCTTAAAATTTGCATAAAAAATTGTTTATTAGCTAATGTTATATAGCTAAAAGGAGCTATATAAGGGATATAAAAAGGTGTATATAAATTTAGAGACTTTTGTGAAATCTTTTGTTTAAACTGTTAGTTAGTTTACGAGAAATTTTAAATATTCTCGCTTATAAATCGAGTAACATTATATAACCGAGTTAACAACCACTTGTGGTATCGGAGGGAAAATTCCGATATCGAAAACGAACGAAAAAAAAAAAATCGGTAAAAGAACAAAAACCGGTCTGGAAAGTTTCGGGTAAACGGCGATTTCGGTGTATTTGCTCGGCGGTATTTCCAATTTATCTCGATTAGAATCGGCCTGCTTCGATGACCAAAAAGAAAAACCGCGGCGAAGAGAAGAGAAAAACTAACTAACGGAGGAAAAACGGAAAATTCGCGGGAAGAATTTTCCCGATGAATTGAAACTGTACTCGATTTTAGGTCGATGTCTGATCGAATCTACGAGTACCACTCATTTATTGACAGATGAATGACAGATGATGTATGACAGTAAAAAAATTTTAACACCCTGTAGCTCGAAAACTAAGAAGTTTAGGACATACATTGATATAAACTGTTCTTCTTAAAATCATCCAAACATCCACATCCTGAAGTATCGTCATACAATTAACCAACACCCTGTATATATATTAACAATATTTCTCTAATTCTACACATGTACCTACTATGTACTATGTATTATAAATTCGTGACGTAACCGGCTCGTTAACTACGTAAATTTACAAATTCGACAACTTCTAAACTCGAAATCACTCCGCATACAGACTAATCAGAAACCCGGGGGAGTTCCATTATTACCAAAAACTCCTTTCCCTCCTCCAATATATTACACGTATATAACTCCGAAAGCCAAGAATTCGTTACTAATATATTCGAAATTAATTACAAAGTTACCGAACGAACTCCCCCCGTACCCGCCCCACTCACCCCCACACCCTTTATCATCCCCCAAAACCGACACCTAACACATACATACGTGCATACCGTGTGTCCCAAATATGTGTTATTGCTGCGAGAAATGTAAGACGAAATGAACAAAAAAACTTTCGAAACTCCTTTTTAAATATTAAGGAATTTTAAGGAGTTTTAGGGGATAAGGATTCTTTTAAATATTCAAGTTTTTTTGAAGACTTCTATAAGGACATGTTATGAACTTTTTAGAAGATGTAAGGATTTTTGAAACAACATCTTCCAAGACAGCTTTTCACAAACTCCACAATTCCTAAATTTGGGCCGCCCGGTACATCACGAATTCGAGTCGTATATACAGGGTGTCCCAATGAAAAGTAGCCCCTTTAGTGAGCGAATATTTTTACATTACAATACAGGGTGTTCTATTTAAAAAAAATGGTTAATAGTTAAAACATCTACTACAATAAAACATATTTGAGAAAACCGCACATTTTTATGATAAGCCGTTTAAAGCTACTTTTCATTGGGACACCCCGTATACACAGAACACGTTAGAACATTCTGGATGTTCTCAGCCGGGCCCCGGCCCGGCCCGGCAAGTGAACAAATTAGTGTCAAGAACATGTAGCGACCAGAAATTTTCCCAGCGTTTCGGAAAACCCCACAACTTTACGTCGACACGTAATTAAAGTAATAAAGGAAAACTCTCCTCGCGCTTTCGCTTGACGTTTGACACGGGCCACCCCCACCCCCCTTTTGTTCTGTCTAAAACTCTCCCACAGCCAACTCGATCGTTTTCTCTCTGTTTCTGTCTCTCTCTGTCTCTCTCTGTGTTTTGTGTGTATGTATATATGCGTTTTATTTACACTAACCGAGCAGCGCCCCCTTCACCGCGTGTTTATGAACTAGAATAGGCAGTCGTAGTTTTAATGAGTTTTGTTGCAATTCGAAAAGTGTCGAAGTTCGGTTTCGGTTCGCCCTGTATGTTTCGATAGGTGGTAATGAATGTTTTAGATTGGAGTAGCACCAGAGCAGTGAGAGAACAGAGATGATTAGAAACAGATTGGAGTAACATCGGAGTAGAGAAAGAAGTAATTTAAGTATAATAGAAATAGATCCAAACAGCATCAGAGTAGAGAAAGAACAGAGCAAAATAGATATAGATTGGAGTAGGATCAGAGTAGAGAAAGAACAGAGTAGAATAGAAACAGATATTGGAGTGACATCGAAGTAGAGAAAGAAGAAAGTATAATAGAAATAGATTCGAGCAGCATCAGAGTAGAGAAAAAACAGAAAAGAATAGAAGCATATTGATGGAGTAATATTAGAGTAGAGAAAGAACAGAGTAGAATACTTAGAAACTGATTAGTGTAGAATCAGAGTAGAGTAAGAAGAGAACAGATTATAGAAATACTCCTAGTTTGGAGTTGCATCTGGGTAGAAAAAGAACAGAGAAGAATAGAAACAGATTGGAGTAGAGAAAGAAGGAAGTATAATAGAAATAGATCTGAGCAGCATCAGAGTAGAGAAAGAACAGAGTAGAATACTTAGAAACAGATTAGTGTAGAATCGGAGTAGAGTAAGAAGAGAACAGATTATAGAAATATTCCTAGTTTGGAGTTGCATTTGAGTAGAAAAAGAACAGATTAGAGTAAGAGCATCAGAGTAAAGCAAGAATTAAAAATTGCAGTAAAAATGTTTTACCACCATTTTTTGACAATCAAAATATACAGAGTGGCACCCACTAAAAACTAAATTATTCACCCGGATAACAGATGAAATTCTTTTAGAATTTTCGATGCGAAAATAAATATACAATACATTTTATCAAAAAATATAATAAAATAAAAATAAACAGTACCCATCCGGAAAACGCGGAAATATTTCCCCGTCGTTCGCAGACTTTTTCCCATCCCCCCGTATATATATTTTATACGCGTCACGGTGAAAAATTAATATTTCAAAGGCACATATCCGCTGGAAATTGAGTTTTCCATTGCGGTTTTCCCTATTTATACGAAATATATTTTCCTGTATTTTTTTATTCATCCCGTTCGAATTTATGACGTTATTCTATCCAGACGAACAAAAAAAAATCACTAATACAATTTACATAAATTTTCCAATCAGCGTCGATAACAAAAGATACACGATCGAGTTATCCGGGAAATAATCACTCATCTGCGTTGTCAATTCGTAACTGTTTCAGAACTAATTCGAAACTGTTTTAGAATCATTTTAGTACATACTTACTAGATCCATTCGGAACACTTTAGAATGATCTTAGAACCATTTGAGGCATTTGAAACAGTTCAGGTTAATCATAGAATCATTTAGAAAGGTTCCAGAATAAATTAGAACTGTTCAGAACCGCCCTGAACATAATTCGAAACAGTTCAAGAAGATTTCGGAACCATTCAGAAGTGACAAAATTGTATCCTAAATATCTTCTATTTATAAGGGGATATATATAGGAAAAGAAGCGTCTTTAAAGAGAGAGGGCGTCGCGACGCGCATCCTGCTCGAAGGACCCTCATCCGCTGAAAAAAAGGACGAAATGGGATATAAATTGTTTCGTATTGTCGCGTCATTCACAAAAGGCTTTTCCTCCGCTCCATTTTTCGTACGTGTGCAGTTAATCTCGAAAAACTTTCCGGCCGCCCGTTTATCTACCCTATATATAGAGGCTCTATATGCTCTATATAATAGTAGTATAGTAAAAGTCCCTCTCTATTCGTAAATTCCGGCAATTCACGCTCAAAACCATAGAAATCAAATGTAATAATAAAATTATAATAATTATAGTATTTTAAGTAGATAGCTATGCTCAAAACGGCTCGACATTTGACAGATGACATATGACGCGTATACTTCGAACGACGTACGACAGGTGACAAACGTCAAACGTCAAAAACGTCAAAAAACAGGCGTTAAATCGAGCGAAATAACGAACGGGAGTTTATAGATGGGAATAGATTAACTGAATAACCGAACGAGCGAGGTCCGCCGGTGTACAATAACGATAATAAATTTTCCCGAAACCGGGGGGGATTCCCCCCCCCGAAAACAACGTAGTTGTTATTATTATCGGCGCTGCGTAATTGATATATCGCGCAATTAATTTCAATTTGCAAAATGGCCGATTCTCGCATTCCCCGTATACACGGGAGGAAATGAAAAAATGTTGCTATATACAGGGTGTTCCTAAACATCGTGTACATTCGAAAGGGGGTGGTTCATTGGCTTATTTTGTGACTTATTTTGTGACAAAGAAAAAACAAAAAAAATTTAAATTTCATCACCCTGTAGATGTTTATATGATCTTTTAGTCATAAAATAAGCCAAGAAATCACCCCCTTTCAGATGTACACGATGTTTAGGAACACCCTGTATATGCACAACCTGTCCAGGGTTTCCCCGAATAACGGAAAATGCTCGGAAAATTTTCCAACGTGGAAACATCGCGAAATAAACGCCTATAATAACGCTCTATTAATCAAATTTGGTGAAAAATAAAACCAATAAAATCGTATAAAAAGTATTGTATGTAACCAGAAGTATTTCCCACCCCTTACTCTCGCCCTTTTTATTCCCTAAAAAGTAATTGCGATGATTCTCTCTATACATATATATCTAATAATATATAAAATGTCGTCTTATCGACCCTTAGAGAGAAAGAGCGATAAGATCAAAGGGGTGAAATGGCCGAAGGGGTTTTCCATCATAAGAAAATTGTTCTTTTCACCTACTGGCATGGCGGTTTCCGATCGACCGCGCTCTCTCGCCCTTTTACCCTTTCACAGACGATGCGAAATAGATCAAATCTCTCTCTTCGAGGAAATCGACAACCCCTTTTTCACCCCCATCCCCCCGCGCATTTTCCGCACACTTCGCCGGGATTGTAGCCCTGTAGGAGAATTGGAAAATTGAGGAAATGTATTGTATTTGTTTTTTTGTTAAATAACTCGATGCAACCCTCGAATTTCACCCCTATTTTTTTATTCAATTTTGACACAATTACCGCAGTTTTTTATTAATTTTCTGTTATTAGTTTTATGATAAAAAAAATATTTTTTTAGAGTGAAAACAACGATATTTAGGGGTTGAAATTTCCATTAGCATTAAGTACCTACATGTAGGAATTTAGGGGTGGAAATTTTCATCGGATTATACAAAAAACAATCACCAATAAAACACGAATTAACAACATTCCCGAATTATTACCTTTTACACGGCATCAGAGGGGGTGAATGTTGTCGGGGGGGTGGATAGTTTCGAGGGAGGGGGTGGGAATTTAGCATACCTATCGGTTAATTGATATTCGGAAAATCGCCGGACGTTTAACGAACATTCGCAAAAACAATAAATTCGTTCATAAATAAGCCGCCCCGTCAAATATTTGCACGAATAGGGGATGAAAACGTTTTTCGGGAAATACGGCGTACGCAAATATTTTGATTAAATTCGTGTTTACACGAGATTTTCGCCGGGAAAACCGGAGATTATGTATATACCGGTCGAAAAAAAAAACGTGTTTCCCACCCCCTATTTTTCCACCCCTAAAACCCGACGATCTACTATTTATTCGAAGACGCCGAAGAAAACTATCGCACTTTTCCGCCCACTCGATAATGTAAACACGATCCAGATGGAAATTTCACCACCATCCCCTAACCCACCCCTCTTTCAGGATTACTTTTAAATCTCCACGAAACCGTTTCGATGCAAAAGTAATTTCCAAGTTTCCCTTAACGAATCACTACAGCGAGATTTCCGAGTTTCCTTCGAACAAAAAACACACCCCTATAATACACCCCTAAATACATCGAGGAATATAGTTATAGCTCAACATTATCTATAATCTACCTTCACAATTGATGCTTAGAAACATCAAGAACGTGCCTATCACATTATTTTCGTGTGGCCTCTTACTTTAGTAACGTCCAGCCAATAAACTTCTGCTTTTTTTTTCCAGGTTTCCCGCTCGAATTCCAGGCACGTAACGCTGAGAAACGTCGAAAGGGCCACCGCGGGGAAATTCAAGTGCGAAGTTTCCGCCGATGCGCCCCTCTTTCACACCGACATGAAAACCGCCGATCTAATCGTAGCCGGTAAGCCGAAAAGTAAAAGACCATTTTGTAACCTCACGCCGTGACGTCACTAAACAGCCAACCAACGTTATAATATACACAATTATGACGTCACTCGATCTATAACCAATCACTTGTCAGCGTCATTGAATCCAGCCAATTGTAGTCCTCTCGTACAAATGACGTCAGCGAATCGAGCCAATCGCAAGGCTCCATTTTTGACATAAAGGACGTTTGACACGCTTTTCCTCTCGTACGAGTTAGAGCTTAGAGCGGCCTCTAACTGTATGAGTGTGTTGTTTTAGAGTGTATTGTTTTAGTTGTATTAGAGTGTTGTTTTAGTGTGTATTTCTGGTTGCAGATGTGCCGGAAGACGGGCCTGTATTGCGTACGGAGGGTCATAAAGTGACTCCCGGTGAGACGATTAGAGCCAATTGCACCACGCCTGGATCCTATCCCAGGATGAATGTCACTTGGTACTTCAATAACGTGAAGGTAACTAGATTTGTTCAGTATAGAAATTGGGTTAGACGTTAATTTATGGAATTAAGACGTTGTATTGACCTGATTTTGTACCGCTAGATCCATTGTATTGACCCGATTTGCACCTCCTGAATATTTTATATACATACATACAAACTGCTCAAACCTGCAATTTTTAAATTAATCTCAAAATTTGTGAATTTCCTTAACTTTTGTGGAGCAATATATTTAGAACGCCAAGAATCATTCAGAACTGTTTAGAACCATTTAGAACTCTCCAGACTCATTTAGAAAGCTCCAGAATCATTTAAAACTATCTAAATCAACTGGGAACGCTCCAGAATCATTCAGAACTATCCAGCTAGAACTATTCAGAAATTTTCAGAACCATTTAGAACACTCCAGACTCATTTAGAAAGCTCCAGAATCATTTAAAACTATCTAGATCAACTGGGAACGCTCCAGAATCATTCAGAACTATCCAGCTAGAACTATTCAGAAGTTTTCAGAACCATTTAGAACTCTCCAGACTCATTTAGAAAGCTCCAGAATCATTTAAAACTATCTAGATCAACTTGAAACGCTCCAGAATCATTCAGAACTATCCAGCTAGAACTATTCAGAAGTTTTCAGAACCATTTAGAACACTCCAGACTCATTTAGAAAGCTCCAGAATCATTTAAAACTATCTAAATCAACTGGGAACGCTCCAGAATCATTCAGAACTATTCAGAAATGTTCAGAACCATTTAGAACTCTCCAGACCCATTTAGAAAGCTCCAGAATCATTACCTGTATTATAAATACGCAGTTTTCCTGAATGGCTGAATTTTCCTCGTTCGTGAGTTTTCTTTTTTTTTTCCATCGCGTAAAACGATTTTTCCGCGAGCGCCTTCGCGGAACGCCGTCTCATCTCAAAACATCACTCAATTTTATCTTTCTAACTGCACGACTTTGTATTATATTTTTCGCGGCCCTCTCGATAGATAGTTCGTGACAGGTGACAAGTGACAAGCCGTAAAAAAATACAACGAAATCGCGAGGACGTGACGTCGATAAGTCTGATGATGATGCTTTCATATTAGGGCCCCGAAACGTCGACAATCGGTGATACTTCGATATCATTTTTGTGGAATCAAACGAATTTATATATAGAAGAAAAATAAAACTTGTGAAACGAGGATTCTTGGGAAAATCGAGAGGTGCAAAATCAGGTTACTACAAAGGATGCATCAAGCACTATTTACTATTTAAATCGGCGTTATATTTATTTGTATAAAAAATATGTAATAACGATATCTAGTCGGACGGTAACCTAAACCCTAATTGTATCATCATAAGCACCTTAAATTCCCATCTACTTTTTAACGCACCCTATATAGGTAAAATACCTATTAAATTTCGAAAATCGCGTAATTTAGGCAACACACATCAGAATCAAAATTAATTTCTCTATGGGGAATTGAATAGAATTAAAACCGCCCGTCGCCTACCATGATGTATAATATACATAAATACATACATAGACCATATATAGGTTATATAACGAATTGGTGAATGGACCGCAAAATGCGCCCCCTAACGGCCGTTTGTGTTATTGCTTTTGGCGGTTTCGAGATTAAACGAATGAATCGCGGGCGTCGGGCGTCAATCCATTCGGTAATTAAAGCGCCGCGACGCCCGACAAATTCGCACACGTGTTGCCAAATTTAATCGTGCACGAGACGGTTTTTTTGCGCTTTTTTTTTCAATTATATTGCTAATGGTTTTGGAAAATGTTCATTCAATTACTAGACAAATGGGGTCCTTCGAATTAAATCATTTACCGATAATAAATATATCCTTTGAGATTATAATTTTCGGAAAACACAGTCGTTTGAATGAGCAGTTTATTGTCTACAAGGTCCTTTTGCGCTAGGACCTTAAGGAGGAAAATATAGGTTCAGTAATTCCAGTAAGATTTAAATTTGACTTCATCAATTAATTTGAATTAATTCTTATACCTGATATAGAGACTTCAAGCAATGATATCTCCTATTTTTAATCTCTACTACTTCATTAGATATTTAAGAAAATTGCAATCTAAAACTGCCATTTATTTGCAATGCTATTTAAATGGCAAAATGTAATTCTAGTAAGAATCGAGTTTCCTCGAATGGATTTGTGAATAATTTTAGTAGGATGAAGAATATTTATTACAGAACAATGTCTCCTAGTTTATATTTATCCACAGGCTGTATTAAATTGAAAAAAAAAACTAATTAAAGTATTTTAGCCAATGATGATGATAGATTCCTGTAAATTATGGTGTCGCCTGACATAAATGTCAAATCACAGAACACTTTTGTAAATTTTGACAAGCGACAGCGTTGCCAGAAGTTTCCGTTTTTCAGATATTTTTGGATAATTTGCACTTTTTTAAGGACATCTAATATGAAATAAGGTATTTCCAGTGCACCGGAATACTTTTAGAGCACTTTAATGAGTATTTTTAAAACCCTACTTTTATCTTTTCAAATTACAGGGAAGAGAATTGAATTTAAAAAATTCCGAAAAGGATTTCTTATTTTACTTTCTTGTACGTTTGATTTTATTTCAAGTGTAATCAAACACGGAACATCTACTAGTGAATTAAACTAATCTCATCCCATCTATTGTGGAAAAATTTTAACCAAAAATAGTTCTATATTATCCCAAGAATTACGAATTTGAGAGCGTGCTTTGGCGGCCTTAACAATATAAAAATCTCGGAGAATCGATCTCGCAATTAGCGTTAGGATATTTTTATCGATAATACCAGCATCAAAAGGAATTCCAATGTAAATTCGATTACATAACAAACGTTCTAACGATTCACTTGAGCGAATTAGAAAAAGGGGCCCCTTTTTGGATCTCTCGAATAGCGGGAAAGGAAAAGCGCGGGCGAACGACAATAAGAGAGAAAAAAGAGAAGAAAAGAAAAGTCGCTAACGATCCGGAAAAAAATTATAAGCAAAAATATTAACGAACGTCTTTTTGAAGTCTCTCCACTCGAAAAATCTCGATTTCGAATTCGAGGGGCGGTGGATTTTTTTTTTTCTTTTTTCGTCAATCGAAAAAAACGGAAATTACAGGCATAGGGGCGGAAATTTCGCACACGGGGAGGCGGGATAATTTTATTGACGTCGTTCGTTATACGTATATACAGGGTGGCTCAAAAAACCTGCAACTTTTAAATTAATCTCAATATTTGTGAACTTCTTTAACTTTTGTGGAGCAGTATATTTTAATTAAATATTCTAAATGTCCAAGAAATGGTCTTAATTAATTCGGACTTTCGGTTCTAAATGGTCCAGGATTTGTCTAGTTTATCCCAGACTGTTTCCAAATAATCCCGAATTTGTTAAATAAATGATTTCGAACAGTTCTAGATGGTTCTCATTGTACGAAGGTCAGAAGGTCTTAATTGGTACCAAATATAATTGCAGACATTTCGATTCAAAAAAACCTTCCAGAACAGTTTAAAATCTCTCTCCTCCTATTTCAACCATCTCTCTTTCCCACTCACACGATAAAAACCAACCCCCAAACTACCACTAACACCCCCCTTTCGGTTCTTCCAAAACAATTACCAACCCACGAACGCACAGGCGAGATAAATCCTTTCATCATCTCAATAATTCATCCTTTAACTCGCAACTGTAATTCGCTTATTTGATCCTTTCATCTTTCAATTTGCATCAATTCCTTAATAATTCCCGCAAAACTTGTACGTACGTATAACGTATACAGGGTGGCCCAGAATTCACGCCCTACCGGGAAATATGCCTTATGGAAACGACAATGGAGATGCCAAAAATGCAGCCTAAAACATAAAAAAGTTATTCCTTTTGGTAAATAGAGAGGTTTAAAATTGATCAATCCCAGTAGGAAGTCAAATCCACGAAAATGATGCGAATTAGCTATACACCAATTTGACATTATTGTAAGATTCTATGTTCTTTTCACTTTCAAGGTTAAGAAAAGCTGCCAAAATCAGCTGTAATTGTTGATCAAAAATTTGCTTTATAATCGATCAAAAAATGGATCATTCGATTCGAACCACTTTTGAAGCAATAACAAATTCTGTAGGTTTGATATCAGCACGATGAAGCTTCTGAATGATCGATTTGGAAGCAAATCTTTGATCAATAGTCACAGCTGATTTTGGCAACTTTTGTTAACCTTGAAAGTGAAAAGGACATAGAATCTTTCAATAATGTCAAATTGGTGAATAGATAATTCAAGTCATTTTCGTGGATTTGAATTCCTACTGGGATTGGTCGATTTTGAACCTCTTTATTTACCAAAGGAATAACTTTTTCCTGCATTCGACTGCAGTTTTGGCATCTCCATTGTCGTTTCCATAAGGCATTTCCCGGTGGGGCGTGAGTTCTGGGCCACCCTGTATAAAGTATTACGTATTACGTGTACCCCTTATATTAATTGCCTAATAGGTATAAGACGTTTACGAATCAAATCAAACGTCATATTTAGTTAGATATATAGGTATATAATATGTACATATAGACACGTTCGCGTTTGATTTTGATATCATCAAAGAGAAACTACGCGAAAGGGGGTTGTTTCATCCCCCTTTTAAAAGGAAATCAACGTATACGCTTGGCGGAATCGAAGGCTAATTCGATTTGATATACAGAGTGTCTCTTAAATTAATTGCAAATACCTTAAGCATCGTGTTAGTCTTTGGACTATTTTTAAATTCATAATTCATCACCGTATATAAATCATATGATCATCATATAATCATCAAATAATCATCATATAATTATCATATAATCATCATAAATAATCACGTCATTATCATCACAATATTTTGATCCAAACGTTTACAGAAAAAATATTAAAAATAATCAAATAAACATAGAAGAACCTTCTAATCTCTTAAATTCGTAATTCATCACCGTAATAATCCTATGACCATCATATAATCATCATATAATCATCAAACAATCACGTCATATTCATCACAATATTTCGATCCAAACGTTTACAGGAAAATGATTAAAAATAATCAAATAATCATAGAAGAACCATTCGAATCTCGATCTACATTACCGCCTCCGTAACCTAATTACCTCCAATTAGTCCTCGAACAAGCACCTGTATACGAACCGCCTCGCAGCGAGATAATTACCCCCGAATCCACCCCCCCTTTACCGCCCCCGCTGCACCCCTTTCGAACAGGTTATATTTGCGTAATTACTAAATAGCCGAAACGGGCCGTATATTACTAATCGAATTATCGAACTCGATCCCCCCTCGAGCCGCCGCCCCCGCCCCCGGCGTGCCGCCTCCGCCTCCTTAGACGACGGGATTGATTAAATAGTCGGAATTCCGGAGGAACGAGGAGGCGTAATCAGGACATCATCGGAAAAACTGCCGCATAACTTATGCCCCGGGGGCGGCGAGGTGGAGGCGGGGGGGGATTGTTATTAATGTGTGGTCCTGCGACAAGGACGAGTGCCTTACAAGGAGCTCGGATTTTACGCGCTTCGGAATTCTTAAGGGATAGTTTCCCGACGATAGGAGATTAATTGAGAAGGAAATTGTCCTTCAATAGGCGGGAAAACAACGTCGTGTCTGTAGAGATGCTTTTTAGAGATGATAGAGATTTTTGAGGTATTTTAAGATTTTTGAGGCTTTTAGAGATTTTAGAAATTTTAGAGATTTTTAGAGATTTTTAGAGGTTTTTAGAGGCTTTTAGAGATTTCAGAGATTTTTGAGGTTTTCAGATTTTAAGAGATTTTTGAGGTTTTTAGAGATTTTAGAGGTATTAAGAGATTTTTAATAATTTTAGAGGTAAGGTCCTTCGAATCATGGTCCTTTGGACAGCAATATTATGGTAGTCCTTTGAACAAAACAATATATTGGACCTTTCGAACACGATCCTGCCAAAAGGACAACGTAATACAAGAGCACTGCATGATCCTTCTGGCAGGACTAAACATATAGTCCTTTGAACAGGACGTTTTGGATTCTTTTGAATAAGATATATAAGCCGGTCCATTGAGCTGTGCAGCAAGCGAACGGTGAATTGAGCCGTGGAAAATGGAAAATTTCATTCCGCCGATCGGAAAACGCGACGAGTCTCGTCCTGGAGATTTTCCGCAAGGACTTCGACTTTCAATTAGTCCTTCGAAGCGTTTTAATTGAAGGCTTAAAGGTAGCCGGTTTCCGTTTATGCACCGGCAAAAAGGAATACCAATACAACGAAAAAAGGAAATCGTATTGGAAAATTCGGAAAATTCCGAACGGAGGAAAATGTAATTTTTGTCGATTCGTAAAGGTGCTGGATGTGAAGAGACTCCCGCCAGGTCGGGTATTAAAAAGGTCGCGAGAAAAGTAGGGCTTTTCCGGAGGCGGAATGCCCGCCGAGAGGAGTCGAAGAAAATTCGCTTTCCTCGCGGGAAAAAGAGGGCGAAACGACGTGAAAAGCGCGCCGTATTATAATATAAACCTTTCGCCTTTTGCCTTTCGGGCGTAATTCGGGCGCCGGACGCATGTTAATTAAGAAAAGCGCTCTGGAAAAGCGTCCCGGAAAAGCGCCCGAAAAGAAAAGGGAAAATTCCATTGTGAATGAATGGCAAGTCGGAAAATATGCCTGAATAAACATAAATTTCCAAAGGCGAGCCGTTACAGGGTGGAAAAGAAAAAGAGTTTTCCGGCCGGCTTTTCGAATTGAACGAACAAAAAACAAAAAGAAACGAAAACAACGCCCAAGAATTTCGAATTTTCCTTCGAGAGTTTCCCGGAGAGAGAGAGGGCTCGGGAAAATCGAGTTTATTTAGCGTGAAATTTTATACTGTATAAATATTTCATTCTTCTCGACCGGCCTCGCCGCCGAAACTTTTCCTACCGCTTTCGCGATTTTTTTCGCTTCCGCCGCGGGTTTTGCTCAAAGTCCTGAAAAGCGAAGAAAACTCCAATTTTCTTTTAAAAAGGAAAAATTAAAGATAATAATAATCGAGACAATTCTTTCTTCTTTAGCTCTAATATACGGATTCCGATACAATTGAGAAGCCGCAAATGACATTTGACAATTGACATTTGACAAATAACAAGTGACGTTTTTTAAGATATCAGAATATAGTAGGCTGTATTTAATCTAAATCGTATATAACGATTCCACGGCATACTTTATAATCCATCATTTTGTCTGTAGTTAGCACGTTGACATATCTTTCGCGTAGGAGGCGAATACCCGTTAATCCCTTCTCTCTCCTTTACCTCGTGCTAGACAACAGTAGGTATATTATGGATAGGAATTAGGCGACCGACGTCGTCGACGCCATTAATTAACGGCGTCCCGACGAGTCGAGCTTATCCCTTTCGGAGTTTAGAGATAGATCTGCTCTCTCTCTGCTCTTCTCTCCCTCTCTTGACCGCCCGTTGATAGACCTCCCAACCCCGATCTCCCCCATTACCGGACCATCTCTAATTGCGCACTTTTGATTTATCCGGTGCGATTTATCCCAACCGGTTGCGTCTCGTTTCGATAGAGACATTTAACGTTACAAGTGGAGTGGTATTTTAAACGAGTGGCTCCGAAAAATCGGTATATAATTGGTACAAAAATTAGCAAATTTTTGTCACTTGTCATCTGTCACTTGTCATCTGTCACTTGTCATCTGTCACTTGTCACTTGTCATCTGTCACTTGTCATCTGTCACTTGTCATCTGTCACTTGTCATCTGTCACTTGTCACTTGTCACCTGTCACTTGTCATCTGTCACTTGTCATCTGTCACCTGTCATCTATCACTTGTCATCTATCACTTGTCATATGTCGCTTGTCATCTGTCAAAATGTACTAAAAATGTACTATTTTTTTTTTCGGTGTATTATTGTTACAGGTACGACCGAACGACGCCGACGTCCGTCTGATCGACGACGTCGTCCGTTTCGACGCCCTGCCCGGCCTGGAGACGGTCAGATCGTCGGTGTCGGTCACCGCGACGCCGGCGCTCTTCGTCGACGGCAAATTGGCCGTTCGTTGCAAGGCCACGTTGTTCGCGTTGTACGAGGCCTCCAAGGAGACGGACGTGCTGGAGGCGGCGCCGCAGCTCGCCCTCATGATCCATCCTTCCACCGCCTCCGAAGCTCACGGTTAGTATATTATTATCAGGAATCACGTTTTTAGAGTATTTTAGACATTTTCAAGATTTTTGAGGTTTTTAGAGATTTTTAGAAATTTTTGAGGTTTTTTGAGATTTTTGAGATTTTTGAGATTTTTGAGATTTTTGAGATTTTTGAGATTTTTGAGATTTTTGAGATTTTTGAGATTTTTGAGATTTTTGAGATTTTTGAGATTTTTCAGGTATTTAAAGATTTTTCGAGATTTTAGAGATTTTTAGAGGTTTTTAGAGATTTTTAGAGATTTTTAGAAAGTTTTTAGAAATTTCAGAGATTTTTGAGGCATTTAAAGATTATTAACGATTTTTGAGGCTTTTAGATTTTAGAGGTATTTAAAGATTCGTTAAGATTTTTAAAGCTTTTAGAGATTTTAGATATTTTTAGAGATTTTCAGAAATTTTAGAGATATTTACAGATTTGTAGAGGTTTTAGAGGTTTTAGAGGATTTTTACAAATTTTAGGGATTTAAAGAGATTTTAAAGATTTTAAAGATATTTTGAGATTTTTGAGATATTTAGAGATTTTTAAGGTTGTTATAGATTTTAGAGGTATTTAGAGATTTTTACAAATTTTAGAGATTTTTCATTTTTCACATTCTTGACACCTTTTTTCGAACATCCATTCGAGCCGGTTTTCCCGGACATTTTGCTGGTCCCCTTTGTATGTACATATAAAAAAAATCACCCCTAATTACCCTTCATGTATCGCGTACGTTCGAAATTATCCGCGAATTAGGCGAAAAAGGGTCGAAGAAAACCCTTCGGTGTTTATTTCTTCGGGAGCCATAAACACTCCGGGCTCCGCGAGCGATTACCGGCCCGGAACTTTTAATGAACCGTCCCAAAAATCCCGGAATTTAATTTACAATTCGACGATATTCCCGGAAAGTTCCCGGCGAAATGGAATTTTCGGATTTTATACCCGACTTATTCGCTCCACTAGAAATTAACCACGCGACTAATTTGGGTCACCCTGTATAGGGAGTTTTATAAAAATTTAAATTTCTCGATAATCGGTAAAAAAATCAAATTTTTGACGTTTTAAATACAACATTCTTATTTTAATTTTTGCGATATTTCATCCTGTTTTTTTTTTGTTGCAGGATTTCGAGTTCCCTCCAGGATAATGTTTATTGTAATGCTGCACACGTCCGTTATCCTGCTGTTTCGTCACACTCCTGGCTAGGAAGGGGACGAGGAACTTTATTTATTTATTTTTTTAATAATAGAAAAAATAATAAAAAAATATTCCCCCCTTCCCGACCCCGATTTCGCAAATTTCGTTGCCGGATAACCGGAAAGCATATAGTGAGTTTAATTAGGGTAATTAACGGGATAATTACCCAAAAAATGTTAATAATAATAATAATAATAAATAATAATGAAAAAACGGCTCGAGGAGTGTCCGTTTTTTTAAAAATATTTGTGATAAATGTGGAAATGTTTAATAATTAAAGTATTAATCGAGTCCTGGAAAATGGATGAATTAACTATGAATGTTATGTGGAAAAGCGATGTATACCTAATTGTAGTTTTATAGCGATGAAAACCGGATGTAGTGATTCGGGGAAAATTTTCGAAAATTTTTTTTCGAATTTTCGCGAACTTTCCGACGGATTTTTCGATTTTTTTTATTTTAGTCCGGGCGATTCGAAGCTATGAAAAAAAATACTGTTTTTTTTATATAATGGGCGAATAGACAATAAGTTGTGAATTTTCTGAAAACTCAATGGTTTTTTTTATTAACTGGTTAATTTAATTTATAATTAATTAACTAATTGATCAATCTATATATTCGAATCGCCCGATTACGAATTGCCTATATTTTATATTAATTTTTTATAATAAATAAGAAAAGCTAAACTGTAAGTTTTCTGTTAATAAAAGTGGTAAAATTAACGATTTGTGTGTATAATTTTCTCGTTCAAAAAATCACCAAAACTTTCAGGAAATTTTTAAAACAGATTCGAACGATCTTAGAACCATTTCAGAACTGTTCAGGTCCATTTGGAACGGTCCCAGAACAAATTTTATTATTCTCAGCTGGTACATAAAAAATTAAAGATTAAACTTTGCCCCATAAAACCCCCGCGACGAGCAATTCCGGGGAATTACCGGACTATAAACTTACATGTATAATAAACCGGAGCAAAAACTCCCTTATACAATTGTTTTCATCGCGTAAAACTCCCGGATTCTCCCGGAACAACCCGCCTGTCTGTCTGTCACAAGAAATTTTATTGCCCTCGTAAACTCCGGATTAATCTGGGTAAAAATTCGACAGACTTTCACTCTCAATACCCCGGATTATTCACATACACAATCGCAAATTGTACAAAATAATAATAATAAAATAATCCCCATATTGCGGCGTTGCCAGTTCTACCATAAATTCCAAACATCTTCTTAATTAATAAATGGAGGTTCGGACAGTAGTTGGAAAATTCAAAATATCTCGAAAACTAAGAGATTTTCGAAAAATTTTCATTCTTCAAAAATTGTAAACAATCGTTTTTTGTACAGAATAAAGCAAACCGAGCGTTTCTATCTCGATTAGCTTTCGATTTAAACGCCCCGCAAAGACCGGCAGATTTGGCATTAATTTCGAATCGCAAGCGAGTGATTCCCCGGGAAAACGGGTCGGAAAACCCGGCCCGGATTTCCCCCCCCCCGGGACGCGGCGATTTATCAGCTCGACACCTTCGCGGAATACGATCGGTAGTTAGACGAAGGAAAAGAGACTTTTCCCGATCCCCGAGAGGTCGAAGGGAAAGCGTTCGTGGTCCGACTAAATGCGATTGTTCACCATTCAACCAATGTACGTTGATTGTTTCCTTATACAGTTCGAGACCTTTGCGGAATTTCTAAAGATTAATCCAAAATATCTCGAAAAACGCTTTTTCTACAAAATAAAACAAAGAAGACAATTTTATCTCGATTAGTGTTCGAGATTATAGCGATATTTCAAGCAGATTTTTGAGATTTTTGAGGTTTTAGAGATTTTTGAGATTTTTAGAGATTTTTGAGATTTTTAAGGCTTTTAGAGATTTTAGAGATTTTTAGAAATATTAGAAATTTTTGAAATTTTTACAGATTTTTAGAGATTTTTGGAGATTTTTAGAGATTTATGAGGCATTTAAAGTTTTATAAACATTTTTGAGGCTTTTAGAGATTTTTAGAAATTTTAGAGATTTTTGTGACTATTTAGGTATTTAGAGATTTTTGAGATTTTTAGAGATTTCAGAGATTTTTGAGGTTTTTAGAGATTTTTTTTAGAGATTTTTATACGAAATAGTACTTGAATCAGTAGAAAAAGTATTGTAAAGTAATTATCGCAATCGATAGATCGTGTTAAAGGCAATGAAAACATTGAAGTCAAATTGGAAATGCGGAAGGGCGCAACAACCCCGTCAGGTAATTAGGAAACTGACAGTTCAATCGGGGAAATTTTCACCGCAAACGGAAATTACTAGGGAAAATCCAACTACATATACTATACAGATATACTATAGGGTGTTCGAAAAGTATATGAAAATTCAGTAAAATTTCAGGCACACTTTTTTATCAGACAGCCTGTAAACTTATACGAGGGTAGGGTGAAAAGTTCTCGATTATTTTGGTTGTTTTCTTTTTGGAACATTTACAATTTATTCCAGAACTCTCTAGAAGCAATTTAGAACGCTCCGGAATCATTTAGAACTGTCTAGAATCAATGATTTCGTCCCGAACGGTTCTATTTCCTATTATTATTATTAGTATTATTATTATATTTTCGATTCGCCATGAAACGCCATTTATGAAAAATTGGATCGCAATTTTAATTTTCGAGCCGATCGCATTTTTCGCCGGAGCTCCTCTCTGACAAATGATAATGGAAAAATTGACGAGCGTGCGACTAAATAAAATCAATTCGACCGACGAAAATGCGAAAATTGGAATTTTAATTGAACGCACACAACGCGCCCGATATAAATCACCAAAAAAAAATTCAAATAAATCGAATAAGAACCGTCTAATAAACTTTATTCGTTATTACGTCAAATCTATCAAACGACATTGTATCGTACGTCACATATTATACGAGGGTAGAGTGAAAAATTCTCGGTTTGATACACTAAGAGCGACATTTATAATTCATTTCATTCATTCTAGATTCATCTTAAACCATTTAAAACGTTCTAGAATTATTTAGAACATGACTAGAACTGTTTAGAACGCTCCAAAGTCATTTAGAACCTTCCAGAACCATTTAGATCGTTTTAGAATTATTTAGAACATAACTAGAACTGTTTAGATCGCTCCAAAGTCATTTAGAACCTTCCAGAACCATTTAGAACGTTTTAGAATTATTTAGAACATGACAAGAACTGTTTTGAACGCTCCATAGTCATTTAGTCTCTTCCAGAACTATTTAAAACGTTCTAGAATTATTTAGAACATGACTAGAACTGTTTAGAACGCTCCATAATCATTTAGAACCTTCCAGAACCATTTAGAACGCACCATAGTCATTTAGAAACGCCTCACGTCTACTGTCAAACACGTCAAACGTCACTTGTCGAACATCCCGTATGTCAAACATCACAAATGTCAATGTCATACGTCTCATATACAACAAATCGTAAAACAGTGTTGTTTTCTGATGGAAAAAAACGAATTTCGAAGCGACAATTAGTCGAGAATTTCGACAATTTAGTCATGCGACTTAAAGAGGGCGCTGCAAGTTCGCCGGAAGTTCGTCGGAACGACATTTACTCCGTTTCCCGTCGTTGCATTTGTCTCCTCTCCGGCGAGCAATTTTCAATTTTCCTACTCGAAACTTGGAAACTCCAAAGAAAAATGCTCGTCTACTCCGTCTACTGCGAGAACGTTAAACATATACAGGGCGGAACGTTTTAAATTCATCACAAAACCTTGTATGCACCCTGTACATACACTCTTTCGTTTTCCTTCCTCTATACAGGAGCCTAATGGAAGTTATCATGCACAATTGTCCCATATACACAATTTTGAATCTACCTGTATACAAATTGAACACATTAATTTTTTTGTATTTTCTCGTTCCACCCTGTATATAACATATAAATATACACACATACACACAGCAGGAAATACATAATATCCACCTATACATCTCGCCGAGAATTGATATATTAAACTTGTTCGGAACTGGGCCACTTAGCGAGTAACAGGCCACTTCTCTTGTAAAGTCCTACCCCTAACCAACCCCGCCGCCCCCGCCGCCCCTCCGACCCCCGGAAACCCGGAAACTTCGTCGGATATACGCGATGTACGTGTATTTCCGGTGCCAACTGCAGCGGGACCCCTTTAATAGGGGGTAACAAGAAAAATAGGGGTGGTGAGAGTGAAGGGATGGAATGCATTCATGCACAGATTAACTCCGGAACGACTACATTTGGGGAATGAGGGATTTTAAGTTGCGTGCGATGGTATTTTTTGTTGTAGTCGTAGATCAGTTTCCCGTCCGACTGAATTGAGGTAATAGTCAATTCGACTTGTTTCGCTTATACTGGACAGTTTATATTGTGTGGAAAATCAACCATTCTCTTCGTCGGCGTAGAACAATAAGAGATCGGAGAATATTACAAGAGGAAGAAGACAAAAAAAAACACATTGAAAAATGTAATCAATTACCGCGAAGAAGGGAAAAAACGGGCGCGCGGCGCGTTCGGCGGTTGTAGATCATTTTCCCGGGGTTTTCCGGGGAGTTTTTCGCGGAGGAATCGCCTTCCGTAAGTTCGGCGACTGTTGATAAATCGACGTTCATCAGGAGAAATATCACCTAATTCGCTGTATTACGGCTTTCTCGCGCGAGCGCGGGATACAAATGGCCGGAGCCGAAAAAAGAAAAAAAAAAAAAAAAAAAACCTTTCCGGAATATTGAATGGTCCGGGCGGGGAGAGAGCGACAGAGAGCTGTGTGGAATTGAGTCGTTTCGAAACGAAAAAAAAAATGTACATGTACATTTAAAACCGGCGGAATTGATGCGTGTACTTATACGAAAGGAATATTTCGCGTTCACAGGGTGGTCCAAAAAATTATGAATAGTTTAGTAAATGAATCCATCAAAATCAATTCCAATTTACAGGGTGTTAATTGATTGCGTGCCGGTACTTCAGGATGTGAATATTTGGATGATTTTAAGAAGAAAAGTTTATATTAATATGTTCTAAAACTCTTAGTTTTTGAGCTACAGGATGCTAAAATTTTAGAAAAAAAATAACTTTACTATCATAATTTTCTTATTACGGCAGATATTAATATGAAATTTCGGACGTGGACGTCACTGATAATAGTATAAAATTAATTTTTATCCCCAAAAAAAAGTGTTTCCATGCATAGTGGGCGCCTGTCAAATTTCAACAAAATATCAAAAGCAGTCTCAAAATGAATTTGGGAAAAAATGGTTTTGGTTTTTATTTTTTACGCGAAAATGGTGCGTCGTACGAAAATAAGTCGTCTGATCGAATTTGCTACAAAATAAATGAGGATTTTAAAAATAATTTTAGTTTTTAGAAAAAGCAGTGGTGTACCATTTTTTTCAAACATATTCAGTTCAAACCCCGTACGGACGTCACTGGTGAAAATTTAAAAAAATCTTACGCCTCAAAAAATGCTCCTTAATAATTAAAAAGTGTATACAAAATTCCTTAAAAATAACTGGAGTAATAAGAAAATTATGATAAAAAAGTT